AAAGCCATTGTAAAAATAGGAAACTACCAGATGGCCAATCTTTTAAATCTCAGGTGAGCTCCATCCTCTCCTCCATCCCTTGTACAGAGTCCTCTCTGTCTCCTGAGGCCTCTCTCCCATTCCCCATCAATACAGACAATATCTGTATTAGTCTTTAAAAGTTAATTTCAGGACAATTTTCATGCTTCTTGCCTCAAGCTCATTTTTTGAAGCTTGCCCTAGGCATGTTTTGTGAAATTTGCCACAGGCGTGGAAAATGCTAGTTATGTTGCTGCTGGCTTCAGTGAATCAGGACTGAAGAGCCTGCTTGTATCTGCACCAGCAAAATGTATCGTTAGACAATTTTTCACCATCCTGTACCTCTCTGCCAATACAGGAAGCAGAAATATTGTCTCTAAATCAATAACGCACTTTTTTTCTCCTTATAGCAGCCCTTTTTGTGGTGGCAAAATACTGGAAATTGAAGGGATGCCCATCAATTGGGAAATGGCTGAACAAGCTGTGGTATATGAACGCAATGAAATACTATTGTTTCATAAGAAATGATAAACAGGCAGATTTCAGAAAATCTTAGAAAGACTTGTATGAACTAATGCAAAATGAAAAGAGCAGAACTGAGACAACATTGTATACATATATCAACCACATTATGTGATCGTCAACTGTGAATGACTCGGCACTTCTCAGAAACATAATGGTCCAGGACAAGTCCAAAAGATTCGTGAAGGAAAATTCTATCCATATCCAGATAAAGGACTGATGGACTCTGAGTGCGGATTGAAGCATATTTTTTCACTTACTTTATACTTTCTCATGCTTTTCCCCTTTTGATCTGTTTCTTCTTTCACAACTGTGATTAATATGGAAATATTTTTTTTCATGAAAGCATATGTAAAAACTATATCAAACTGCCTACCATTTTCAGAAGAGGGAAGAGAAGGAGGGAAAAAAATTTGGAACTCAAAATCTTATAAAAGTGAATGCTAAAAATTTTCTTGACATGTAACTGGGAGACAAAATAAAACACTATTTAAAAAAATGCAGACTTTATTTGCCAGAAAATATTCACCAAAAATAAATGGAAGCAATTATTTCAGAAAAATGTCATTGAAATAAATGGTTACGCACATCATAACTATATGGATGCCTCAAAATTTCCCAGTTAAAAGATGTTGATTGCTTAACCTATTTGCCAAAAATGGATAGATTATTAAGATCATTGCTAATACATGAATGTTTCACACACACACACACACACACACACACATATACACACATTGGCTTGTGCTTGTAATCCTCTCTCTTGGAAATAATTTTAGTCCTTCATTGCTTGCCAGTTTAGATGTAGCTTCTAAGTAATCTGATTTAAAAGGAATTCTTACATTTTACAAGCAGCTTTACAGCTGCTTTGATCCCCTTCCATTTAATGTGAATCAGTTAACGACACACATAGCAACTCCTTTGGAGACCTAAAATGAACAAAAATCTTTTGGAATCCTTTATGGGATATGTAAAGTTTGGAACAATGAGGTTAAAAAAAGCAATATGCCTTTCAAAAATCTTCACAGCAAGCTTATTCTAATGATTGCCATTAACAGATGGAAGTGATGTCATTTACAGCCAAGGAGATCAGGCCTTTGTGGCCCCTTTGCACCTGTAACAGGCAGGGAAGAGGAAAGTGCTTCTTCAATAATTGCTGTAGACTGAGAAAACTTTCCACTTATCAGCCTAATGCTATGCACATTAAGTAGATGGACTGAAAGAGGGAATTCAGTTAAAGACGAATTATCGGGAAAGTTTTGCAATATGAAGGACCTATAATATCTGTTCATGATTGCAGGACATTTAAAACAAAGCTCTATTTTATTAATTTGTGATTGAAAATGCAGAGAGTGGGTAGGTGTCAGTGTTAGAATGTCTTGAGGCCAAATGTAATGGGTAGCCAAAGACTTCAGAAATGTTTTACTATTCAAACATCTATTAGTATGAAACCTTTTCCTCATTCCCCCATTCAAAAAAAAAAGTCTTGTTAAATAATTTGTTGGCTGAAAGTAATGATTACATTTCATAGAACCGTATGATAAGAATTGAGTTAATTGAATAATGTGAGAAAGCATATATCTATCCTGGAATAGGAGACAGAGTAGTTTTGGAGTGAGAAAGAACAGGATCCAATTCCTTCCTCTGACAGCCTATACATACACATGTGTATATGTGTATGTACATATACATGTGAATATATGTACATGTCATGTATATATTTAGACCGATGTTTATGTCTGTATATAGACATATGTTATATGTGAATACAGACATTGATAACCTTACCAACATATCCATATGCATTTATGAACAAGTCTTTCTTTACCCTTGTTAATAACAACTCACCCCTGGAAAGGCACCTCATTACTGTGTCTCAGTTTTCCTCCCCTATAAAATGAAGGGGTTGGACTAGATTTTTCCCCCTAAGGTTTCTTCCAACTCTAATATACTATGTGGGCTAACATAACCTTAGTCTCTGATGATTGAAAATTACTCTCAGGCAAATAAATAAGTGGTAAGATGAAGAGTGAATTAAAGAATGATTCCCACAATTTGGGAGTAAAGTGCTAAACTTTTTTACATCTGTAATATTTGCAAACAAAGGCTAAAGGTAGAAATTTTCTACTACGAAGTTTTAGGAATGGTTATCAGACCTACAGAAATGTACTCACTCTTTTGCCTCCAATGTTACTGGATTAATGAACTGTCAACAACATTCCAGTCATGGATTTCTGTAATTTGTTGTTATATGTTCCAAAGGACAACCTGTACTGACTGACAGCTCAGACAATCAATGACAGGAAATGCACCAATGCTGGAGAATACACTATCTGGCCTCCTCCCCTTTCTCTTTGCAGATTCAACCTAAGGAGAATGTCCCAGACTGTAATCTGCTATACAAATTATATACTACAACTATGACAATACTGGGGCTATAGTAGACTCACCTGTTCCTCAGAGTACAGATTAGTATATCTCTTGCTACTTCATGCAAATAAGACTGGGAAGTAAGGAAATTTCCAAATGAAAATTGAGCATCACCATACCCTTCTAATTCTGGTGGTTTTGACGTTGACCAAGAAACACGTTAAACAGTTTTCCTCTCTAGTTCATCCATCAAGCTAAAAATGCTATGAAAATCTAAAGTCAATTCAGATGAACCTGGCTACATCGAGTTACTTAGGGGTATTCCTAGGCAAAATTGTAATACTAGTAACTGTATCACCCCTTGGTGGCTCAAGTTTCCTGGCAGTTCTGAATGGCATTTCATGTCCCCAATCTCCCTCTTCATTATAGCTTAGATAGTCTGCATTTCATTCTTCCAAGAAGCTATTCTATTGTAACCAAATAACTCCCTCTCCTCAATTTGTAGAAATCTTCAAAACTTTTATAGCCTTAAGAGTCTGACAGGATGTACCATGAATACCAAGGGAGTTGTTTCCCAGAGTCCAAATCTGTGGCTAATAGCATGAAAAAATATTTAGTGAAATTATAGCAGATTCTATATTGCCCATTCAAAGACCCATATCCATGTTCTTTTGGGCATCACTTTCAAGTCAAAGGATAAATGTTATTAAAAGCAGTCTTGATAGTTATTTTTGCAGGTTTCACATTTGCTAGATGTGCTTTACAAATTTTATTCACAGTGATTCAAAGTGAATTATCTCATGTCTAAGCTTCAAGGCAATTGTACCACATCAGGCCCCTGACCAAACCATCATTCTTTAAATACATTATTAAGGTTATCTCAAATTCAAAAAATACAAAATGCTTGTATACCATTTTGGAAATGACATGTTCATCATAGAGACATGGTGTAGGCGAAAGAGTATTAAATTTAAAGTCGAGAAATATTCCAGGTTCAATCTTTACTCTGATACTTAGTAGCTGATATTGAGCAAGTAGCAAAGTCTATGAACTTCAGTTTCTTTACATGTAAAATGGGGATAATATTTGTAGTTGCTACCTCACAGAATTACTATGAAGAAAGTTTTTAGCAACCCATAAAGTGCAGAAATGTGATATTATCACTCCCAAGATTGTGACATCTTCTTATCCACTAATAAGGATTGCCCTAACTTCCGATAAAATTGAAGTAATATGTGTTAAATCCAAAGGATGTTTTGTAATTTTTTTTAAGTTGTATTGAAGAAGCATGTGAAGATGCATAAGGTAAACAGAACCAAGGAAGCAATATACACAGTGACCATAGCAATGTAAATAAAGAATAAATTAACCAATTTCAATGTGTGTTTACAATGACCAAGTTTGGCCAGAGATGATCCCTTTGATGCAACCATGGGGAGCCTTATGCATGATAACCCTTTGATGCAACCATGGGGAACCATGGTTGTGGACTACCGCATATACTGTCAGATTTGCTTGATATTTTGACTGTTTTCCACTCCTCCCTTTTTAATTTTTTTTTTTTTTGTTACAAGGGAAGGTTATTTGGATAACAGAAGGGGAGAGACATATCTAATAATAATGGTGACATAAAAACAAAAGTTATGCATACAAGTTCAAAGTAAAAAAACTACATTAAAATGCAGGAAAATAAAGTGTTTTTTTTTTAAGTATATGTTTAGTGTTTAGGATAATTGTGACTTTTTAAAATAGATTTTAGTAGTGTTTTAATGCTAATAATAATGCTCCTTTTCTAAGTAATATTCCAAAGACCTTTAAAAAATTAAGAAAGATTACTCATCTGTAAAATGAGGTTAAAGTATTTGTTTTCTTAAATCCCTTTAAGAGCTAAATCATATAATTCTCAACAAGCAAAACAAACAGATTGTTACATATTTACCTATCATTAGCTTTTAATCTTTCTTATTATTGAAGTTATTAAAGTAAAATGTTTTTTCTCCATAAAAATACCCTCTGAAGATGAATCATTTATAGGGGTATAATTAAGAATATACCAAATAATTTATTTTCAATTTCCCCTTGCTTTATAGATATGACCCTAAAACAGACACATGGACCATGGTGGCTCCTTTGAGTATGCCTCGAGATGCTGTTGGGGTCTGTCTGCTGGGTGACAGGTTATATGCAGTAGGTGGGTATGATGGACAGTCCTACCTGAACACTATGGAATCCTATGACCCACAAACAAATGAATGGACACAGGTGAGTCAGATTGGTTACCATAAAATGTTAGAAGTCTTTCTTCAAAAATTCTTGAGAAAGGAAGTCTACACCATGCCCAGGGAAGATAATCTGCAAGCCTTGCATAGTGCACTGTATTTTCCTTTTTATTATAATGATAATTTGTTTGTTTTTTCCTCATAGAAAATTGAGTTATTTTCCTGATTAAGGATTTGTCTAGGTCTCAATTCATTTCTTATTAGAAGTTTCTGTTTCTACAAAGCACTCTAATTCTAAGGCTTTGCATTAACTGAAAGAAGGTACTAGAATTGTGATATTTATGATCATTTTCCATACAAATTCTCTGTAGTCACTAACCTTTTCAGTTGCTCAGAAAAAAAAATATGACTACTAGCTCCTTAGAAATATGCAGAAAATAAAGTAGTAACCAAAAAGCAACCTCTTCTTAGGCTTACTTCACATTAGGGAGACTGGACATCCCTTCCTACCTAGATCTGTCTATTAGAGGTGTCTCTGTGTGGTCATAAAGCTTGGGTATAGCCTAAGATTAATTCCAAGAAGATACAATGGGCAGAAGTGAAGCCAGCAGCCAGTAGCCCCAGAGCTTGCACCTGTCCCATACTGCAAAATAAATTTGGATAACCTGTCTTTGAAGCAGACAAAATCCTTCTCCTGTTATCAAGGACAGGCTGTCAATAGCAAAGATTTTATTCTTCTATAATGTGTAAGCCTGACTCTTTGTAGTTATATAAGAAAGCACTCTCCTCTGTGCTAAACAAAAGAGGATCCAAAAACTGGTGCCCCAATAGGGAGAGAGAAAGAAATGAACCTTAAGATACTCTATGACTCATTATGATTTTTGAGAAAATTATTTCTCCCCAAAATTAAAATAAGATAAAACAAAAATGATGTTAATGGTCTCTTCCCACGCCTCCCAATATAATACAAAATCCAGTGTTGTATGTGTAATAAGTACTAAATAAATATTGTTGACCAACTAAGTGAATACTCTGGCTAAGACTTCATTATAAAGGTGCCATTTGTACAAATGTACATTAAGAAAGGCCATGAATGTGTAGTTTATGGGTGTATAAATGATGTAATATAGAATCTTCATTACTTATTCATAATCATTAGCCATTACACATATCATTCTTCTAAAATTGAAATAAAAATCTGCCTTTTTCCTCTTTTGTATTTTATTTTTCTCTTTTGGCTCATACAGCGTATTGTGGTCAGCTAAGTAGCATTTAAATTGTTTTTTAACTTTATTTTAGTACATTAAAAATTATTTTTAAAACTGTTAAATTACTTTTAGGTTTTACTTCTTAATTCTTGTTCCTTTTCTTTACAATTGTTGCCATCCATTGAAGGTACCAGATTTAGATTACCTCCACAAAATAGTTGGGGAATTTCTCAGGAGGCTGGGCCACTCACTAATAACCTCTCTTCTATTCTTTCCATGACTACAGTAAGAATAAAAAATGAATAAATAAATGCAGATTTCCTTGTATATCCTAGAGCAAATGCCTGATTGTCATAATGAGATGATATAACATTGTGAATGTTCACATTTAACATTTACCTTAGTTCTTCTATTTGTAATGAGGATGCAATATGTCCTCCAAGGCATAGAAGGAAACACTTCTTTGATGCCTCATTAAAGCTGACGGGTGCCTCTGGACTTTCACCTGCTTACTATTAGAGAATAAATGGTTGGCTATCACTTATCATATGCCAGACACTGTTCTAAATTCTGAAGATACAAAGAAAAGCAAGCATGAAAGTCCTTGCCATGAATGAGCTTACATCTAAAGGGAGTAGACAACACATAAAGTGGAGCTGGTAATGGGACAGACAGGGAGGGTACACAGGTGGTGACATGGTTGGACATGTCCAAGAAGTGTAGCAAAGGTCTGGAACTGAGAAAGATAAGGCAAAAGCTGGACTATCAAAGCCCAAGATGGTTCCAGAGGCAAAGTCCAATTATCAGCTGAAGAGAGAGTAGAAGACATGATACAGCTTGAGATGTACAGGAAGAATACTGGTCCATATCTATCCCCACTCATGGCTTTTATAACTCCATGGTCTATTGAAAAAATGCTGTCCACCTCCAAAGAGAAAACTGATGAACTCTGAGTGAAGATGGAAACATACTTTTTTCACTTTCTTTATGTTTCTCATTTTTATTTATTTATTTTTGTTGCTAGATAGCTAATATGGAAATGTTTTTCATGACTTTACATGTATAATTGATATAGTTTGCCTTCTCAATTGGTAGAGGAAAGGCAGGAGGGAAGGAGAAAATTTGGAATTCAAAAATAATTTTAAATAAATGTTAAAGACTAATAAATAAATGAACAAACAAACAGATAGATAAAGGTGTGTGTGTGTTTGGGTAAAAACTACATGGTTATGTTCTATCTAGTTACTCTATCATTAACTCACATGGCACAGGATTTTGGGGAGAGAAACTAATAGTGAAAGAAATGGTTTGGGTTTGTACCCAGGGACTTCCCCGGACTTTCAGGGAGGTAAATGGTGTAGAATGTGAGAAAGGCAACTATCTCCAAAATCATTCCCTTATGACTGAATGATTGCATATTCACTCTATGTTGTCTAAAACAGAGCAATTTGCATGGGATCTCTAGAAGTGAGATAGGTGGACAGCCATTTCATGGTATTAGGCAGAAAAAAAGGGCAACCTAACAAAAGCGGAACAAGAGGAAACCAGGAAACTACCAGGGTAGGGACTTTTTCTTTAATGCAAAATGAGGTGAGGACAAAACATTTATTTTCCTAATCATTTGGTGGTTAATGATGGTTAAAGAAATGGATCCCTTTCATTATCAGTTATTTAAAAAATCATTATATGACTCTGGGCCATTATTTTGTTGTCACTGGTTGACAAAGAATAAAATTTGAATCCTTGGACTTTATTCTTTCCTTGTCTTGTATCCCCTAATTATTCCCAAAGATATATGATGAAGAATCTCACATTAATATAACGTTGATCGAGCATCTAAGGCATAAAGTTTCATTAAAACCCAAGTAAAACTTTTTCTTTTTAATATATTTCTAACCATGCTCATATCCTCCATTATTAAGAAAACTCTGAGCTCTTTCCTCAGTTATTGTCATAAGATGGATTTTAATAAGGAACTATGATTTTTGAATTTTAATAAGGTCAATAGCAATTTTAGCTATTGCCTATTTGTGACACAATATTGAAGTTATTCCATTGTGTGTCTCAGACTAGACTGAATGAATAACACATTTAATACAGTATAATGGTCTAGGGAAATATCTTCAAAATTATCCCAATAAGCATAATAGCTATTTCACCTGAAGTGTACTCCAAGTGAATATATTCATGGATAGCTATCCCAAAGCTATCACTTCCTACACCACAATGGCAGTATCGTAAGAGAAGTATACTGCATAGAGATATAAATACACTCTATGTGTATATCTAGTCACTCCATATATGTTAGCTTCATTGCACTAAGGAATACTAAAAAAAATATGCCAATGTGAAAAATGCTAAATCAATTCTTGAAAATTAACCAATAAGCATTTATTAATCTCTTACTATTTCCCAGGTATTATTTTAATTACTGAGGATAAAAATACAAGAAAACAACATCCCCCATCCTAAAAGAGTTTACATTCTAATGAAGAATACAAAATGTACCTAAGTGGCAAGGGTTCTTAACCTGGGGTCTCCAGAGTTCAAGGGGTCCATGACCTTGAAAAGGAAAAAAATATATTTTTTTTAAAAAATTCACTAACCTCTATCAAAAATTTTGCATTTCCTTCGATTATAATTCCCAGCAAAACTAAACTAAACTAAAATACTCATTATTCTGAGGAATCCATAGGCTTCACCAGACTGCCCAAAAGATCCATGATACAAAAAAGGTTGCTTTATTAGTATATACAAGACACATACAAAGGAGAAATAAGGTACTTTGTATGAAGGGAAGGCACTAGCAACTAGGTCATGTGATAAAGTCTGCTGCAGAAAATGGCATTTGAATTCAGTCTTGAAGAAAACCAAGGATTCCAAAAGCTGAGGAAAGAGACGGTAATAAAGTGAGGGACAAACAATGCCAAGCATAAAATCATGTGTGAGACAATTGTAGCCGGATTATAGACTGTGTGGAAAAGATTAAAGTGCAAGAAGACTGAAAAAAAAATAGATTCCAGGTTTTTAAGAGCTCTGAATTCCAAATAAAGGAGTTTACCTGTGATTCTAAGACTACTTAAAATAATTCTATGTATTAGTCTTAACTTGTAGAATGTGATTTTCAGTGATTCTTTTAAACATAATTTTACCTATTAATCCCCTAAAAGCAGACTTGAAATTTGCATTTATGCTTCTTTAATTCTCAATCTTTAACTCACTGTTCTCTTGTATTGTTTTATTTATTTTCCCTAATTACATGTAAAAACAATTTTTATCATTCTTTTTCTAAAATTTTAAGTTCCAAATTCTGTCTCATTGAGAAGGAAGACAAACAATTTGATATAAGCAATATATATGCAATCATGCAAAACATTTCCATATTAGTCATGTTGTGAAAGAAAAGACAGACCAAAAAAGGGAAAAAATGTATGCTTCAATCTGCATTCATATTCCATCAAATCTTTCTCTGGAGATGGGCAGCATTTTTCATCATAAGTCCTTCAGAATTGACTTGGATCATTGTATTGCTGAGAATAATTAAGTCATTCACAGCTGATCACCATACAATATTACTGCTACTATCTTCAATGTTCTCCCGGTTCTGCACATTATTTTATATTTCTGTTCATCCAGTTTCCCCTTTTATCTCTCTCTCTCTCTCTCTCTCTCTCTCTCTCTCTCTCTCTCTCTCTCTCTCCCTCTCTCCCTCTCTCTCACTCTCTTTCTCCTCTTTCAATCTGTCCAACCTCAAGAGTGATTTGCTTCTGATTACCACTTCTCCCAATCTGCCCTCCCTTCTACCAGCATCCTACCCTTTCTTTTCCCCTCCCCCTTTTACTTTCCTGTAGGCAATGGGTGTGTATGTTATTTCCAGTTTGAGCCAGTTCTGATGAGGTTAAGGTTCAAGTACTCCTCTCCCCTCCACTCTAAAAAGTTCATTTATACCTCTTTTTTGTGAGATAATTTATCCCATTCTACCTCTCCCTTTCCCTTTCTCCCAGTACATTTCTCTTTCTTATCCCTTAATTTCATTTTTTTTAGACATCATTCCACCATATTGAACTCACACCCATGTCCTCTGTCTACATATATTTCTTTTAACTGCCCTCTAGATGAAAAAAGTTATTAGGAGTTACAAGTATCATCTTCCCATGTAGGAATATAAACAATTTAACCTTATTGAATACCTTATGATTTATTTTTCCTGTTTACCTTTGTTATACTTTTCTTAAGTCTTGTTTCTGAAAGTCAAATTTTCTGTTCAACTCTGGTCTTTTTGTCAGGAAGTCTTGAAAGTCCTTTATTTTATTGAATATCCATTTTTCCCCGAAGGATTATACTCCGTTTTGCTGAGTAGGTGATTGTTGATTATAATCCTAGCTCCTTTGCCCTCCAGAATATCATATTCCAATTCCTCCAACCCTTTAATGTAGAAGCTACTAAGTTTTGTGGTATCCTGACTGTGACTAAACAACAGTTGAATCTTTTTTTTTTTTCCTGTTTGCAACATTTTCTCCTTGACCTGGGAGCTCTGGAATTCTATATATATATATATATATATATATATATATGTGTGTGTGTGTGTGTGTGTGTGTGTGTGTGTGTGTGTGTGTATGTGTGTGTGTGTTTGTATATGTATATGTGTATGTATGTATATATATATGTGTGTATATATATATATTATACACACACATATATACACATATATTTTTTTCCTTGAGTCAGTGTGGCAGGTTGACTTATATTGTGCTGTTTCTAACTTAAATATGAAAAAGAAACCTACTTCATTAATCCAGAGCCTTTTTAAGTATCACCATCTTAATAGTTTTCAACAATAGCTCCAAAATCCTTCATTAAGTTATTTTTCATCTTCTCTCAACAGATGGCTTCCTTAAACATTGGAAGAGCAGGTGCCTGTGTCGTAGTTATCAAGCAACCTTGACCTGTTTACATTACTTGGGATTTGACTCACTGAAGTGATTATTTTTCTATCAGATGATTAAATGGTAACTTTATAAGAAAAAGGTTTCATGAAAATTGGGCTAACACTATCAAATAAGGTGGAAGATCAAAAAGAAGGAAATGGAATAAAAGAACATCAATCACTCCATTTTGGGGACAAATATCTGGCCATGTTGTAGTTAGCTGAGGAACTATTACTGATACTTTGTTTTGTAGAATACCTAATAACCAGAAATGCCAAAAGTTGTGTTTTTTTTTAATTAACCAAAAGATGAGAAACAGGTATTTATTTGTGGCATGGCTATTTTCAATAATCATACAGTATCCATTTTTTGATGTCACATATTTTAAATGGAAATCAACAGTAGTTACCTTTCATTAGTCAAGGTACATTTGAATGAGTTTTATTTTCCTAATTTGATGTGATTTTTGAAAGGAAGCAGAATAATTTCTACAAAAATAAAGATGTTTGAGAGGACTTATATTCTTCATTTTCCTAAATCATAATGAAAATTGAGCAGAAAGACTTATGATTGCCTCTTCAACTTAGGAAATAAAACAAGAAAACTCTCCCTTCTATCAGAAGTGCACATCTCGCCTGTGGAGGTGTTTGCATTTTATTCTGGAAGCCTAAACAAACTGAATGAGCAAGACAGAAGAACTGTTTTAGCTAGGCTATCCACATAATTTTGTTTGATAAGAACATGAACCAAAGATTTATGGTTTAATAATTGACATTTACCTTGTGTTGAGTTCAGTGTGTGCATGTGAGATGTAGTCCTAGAGTACTTCTTTGCATGCCCTGCATGTTAAAGGCCAGATACTACTTAGAATAACTAAACTGTCCAGCCTATTAAAATGGTGATGTCAAGGTCTTAAGATCACAAGTGGGAAAGCAGAACTCTAATTTTTACTCCACTAGTGATTCTTTTGGAGCCAATAGCACTGAGTGATGTATTCTTTTATCTCTTCCAAAAATTCTTTGTGAAGAATAATTTGCCAATGAATAAAAATTCAAGTAGCATGGTAGTTTCTTTAAAGGGTCCATGGATACTCACATGTCAACCAACAAATGGTTGAAGTAAATAGTATTTTTGGCAATGAGTTTTGCATTTATTTTGAAGTAAAATTGAGGAAAGAAAAGTATTAAGATAGAATGTAATGATAAGTACATTTCCACTGCTTTCCTCAGACCTTGAATAATCTATATCTACAGCAAAGGATCAGATCCAGATTCCCCCTACGTAGACCCCGCTGCCATCAACAGAAATAAACCTTCATTAAAGCTCTCATTCTCACTCACTTAACATCATCAGTACTTAATGGAGTGTCCACTCCCATAGAAAAAACATGTGATAAGACTCAGGAGGCATACAAACTTGGAGAAGTGGCCAGGAACTGACAGAACAGGGAAATGCCTCCTTCTGAACTAATGAAAACTATGTAAAAATGGAGGGGGATCACATTTCAGATTCAGAAGCATGAGGGCATCCTACTTAACTGGTTATAGTTCCTCATTTTTATTGGGTACTTACATTTATTGAGTATTCTTATTGGGTATTTCTTACTACTAAGATACATTGAAATAAAATTCATCAAAAAAGAAACTGGAAATTTATGGACTTAAAAAATAAAATGAAAGAAATCCATTAATGTTATTTTCTCTGTCATTCTTATCTTCATAGCACTGAGGTGTGTGGACAGCTCTTTATGATTTTAGGGCCAAGTTCAGTAAGGAATGTTCTACATACCAAAGCCATCAACATAAATACTAGAGCAGTAGTAGTCAGATTCTAAATTCCGTGAGTCAATTAGAGAACTAATTATAAATAAGGGAAGCTTTCTTTGTACAGGGACTGGTGAGTGATCTTTTGATTTTTTATTTCCTGGATCTAGATTGATGTTTAAGCAAATTGTCATCTTTATTTAAGGCCTAAAACCAGAAATATTCAATCATAACAATGAGTCTGCTTGTCTGCCCCTTGTTGTGTCATGTTGTGTTTTTTAACTTCTCTATTTTTAAACCTCTAAGTTAAAAAGTATGCTATCAGGAAAAAAAAAAAAGTTTTTTCTACAATATAATAAAGCATCCACCCAGTTCTCAGAAATTTTTCTTCTAATTAAAAAATCATTAAAAAGATCAATGGAAAGTGGTCCAAGTTGTGCTTTAAATGTATATTAACAGGCACTCCTTTAACACTGATAATGGGGGTGCTTCAGTTTCCTCTTTAGAAGAATTTGGCATCCCTCCTTATCCAAAAACTGGACATGGTTTATGGTATGATCTAATGCATTTTCCTCTTGGAAAGAAAGGTCAGCTTCTACAGCTAACTTCCATTAGTGAAACATAGATAAAAGGACACATTTCAAACCATTGCTGTTCTAATGCATTTTTTAAATGTTTACATTCCTCTCTCTCTGTCTCTGTCTCTGTCTCTGTCTCTGTCTCTGTCTCTCTCTCTCCCTCTATGTCTCTCTGTCTCTCTCTGCCTCTCTGTCTCTCTCTCCATATATATATATATATATATATATATATATATATATATATATATATAGTGTCAAATGTCCATTTTAGATAAATTTATTTTGAGAATTTAGTGAAGTCTAATGTGGTAGTTAAGTTACCTCATTTATTGAACAAAATAAACACATAGTATCAGTAAAGGCAAAGGTAGATGCTAATGTGTTTCTTATAATAAGTGAAATAAAAATGAAGGTATTTCTGCTAGATTTAAAATTCAAATAATACCTTATTTGATTACTTTTAAATGGAAATATTGACTAAAATCTGAATGGTAAATTCAATTCTTCCCCTAACCAAACATTCTTTAAGAAATTAAAATTCACCCTATGGTTTACTGCAATGTGGTTCATGTTCAAAATAGAACTAGCACCAAATGATGACAATTAAATTCATTTTAGTGAAAACTGTCATATTTTTATACTCTGATTTTCTTTTTTTTCTTATAATTTTTATTTTATAATATATTATAAACAGACTGACTACTTTGTTAGGGAAATGTTTACTTGGAGTGGTCCATGAAACAATTTTGAGATGAAGATGTTCCAGTCTTCCAAATGAAATACAAATTCAAACTGTAAAGGTTTCTCATTCCTAGTTGCCTGTAGACCACCAATTAATTTTACTCATTTGTTATTTCATTTCCACACCATTCTCGTCCCTCTCCTTTTCTTTCTTTTTCTTCATCTACCTCTCCTCTCTATTTCCCTTAATATTAATTGCCCGAAAAGAGTACAACCAGGGGTGCGCTGTTAAATAAATGCTTTTAAAACAGGTTCTCCAAAAATTTTTTTAAATGTATTTATTTTTTTCCATGCGTTTTTTAAACACATTTGAAAGTTGCATTAAAACTTTCTTAAATCTAGACAATCGGAATAATCAACCAACCAATCACTGATTGATAGATATTTTCCATTTTCTGAAGTATAAATGCTCACAAGGAAAAATTAACAATTGTCTCTCTCAAGCCAGTTAGAGCTGGCTCCAGCAGACTCCTGGATGCAATTATTTCCACTTTTGAAGAATGAGAAGACCAACCCACATTTTACAGATACCAATTAAAGGTGTATAAAGTATTACTCTCCCACAACAATTGTGTGCACTAAATAGTTATAGAGGAGAAAACAGGCTCCAGGGGTAAAGTGATTCATCAAGTCCATGATTGAATGCAAAGTGCTAGAGCTAAAATTTAAAGAAAGACCTGTGTGGCCTTGCTTTAAATCTTTTCCAAAGGGTGAAACATCTACTAGTTTCTCATTTGTAAATTAAACTTTTACCATTAGTAGCATGCTTTGCACACAGGTCTTTCTTTCCTCCCTTTTTTAATGGCCTTTACATACTTACTTCCAAAGTCAGTGAATATTTAAATTATAGCTTGCTATAGGATGGAAACCACTTCTAACTTGCAACCATATCATGTCAGAGCTACAGAGCATGGCCAAATCCACTGAAAATAAAAAGAACATACACTTTCATAGGTGGCTGGATTCAGTAGAGAATTAATTTATTTACATGAGGAGCTTAGTGCAAATAGAAGATTCTTGTTTTGTTTAAATAAAAAAGGGAGGCAAAAGTAAACTTTTAATTTAAAACAGAAACATTACTGAATAGAAATTCTATTTTTCATAAAAGTCACAGCTTCCAGGACTATAATAGGCTCCTTTTCCTGTTTTTAATTTTGACTAATTTCAATAAAATCAGCCATATCCAAATCAGCTGTGACACCTTTTCTCTCTCAAATTTTCTCTTGCATGCACACATATGCCCCAAACTCCCATTTATTCAGGAGAGTTTATTAGACCTGGTTAATTGAATATTCTCCAAATGTGAGGGGAAAAAAAGAATACAGTACATTACACTTGCCAACCTGAAATGAACTGAACATAATCTTTCTTTAATGACTCTGAAGATGCTTTAGGACCTTATAATGCCTTGCATAAAGTAGGTATTCAAATGTTTGATTATAAAAATTTAGAAAACCATTTTCTAATTGTACAGCACTATAGCTATAGAAAATACAGAACGATGAATAGAATCTGAACTATGTCCTTAGACATTGTCTCCCTATACTTTCCCCAAGTTCAACAAATCTCTGATAACATCTTCTTTATTTTTAATTTGCTTCTTAGTAAATTAGGGAGGATGTGTGTGAAAGGTTAGAATTCTGCTTATGTGAGTCTTGTGATTGTTTTGAATCTGAAAAAAAGAGATATATACATATACATACACATACACATACATATGTATGCATATATGAATATATTTGTGTGTACATATGTGTGATGCATTTACTAGAATGTTCATGCTATAATGAAGATTTGGACTAGAGAACTTCTAAAGTCTTCAATTCTAAGGTTCTATAACTTTGTGATAATAACATATATACCATTTCCCATCTATACCCTCAACCCTACTGCCTATGAGCTGACCATCATCCTTACTTCACATCCTGACTCTCATGTAACCTTGAATTCTC